ACTTATCCTGGAAGCGCTCTAGCGCCGCCCAGGATTTGATTGTCAAATCCTCGGCTCTAAACCTTTGTTTTGTTGCGTGCCCGCACCGCAAAGCCGTTCCATCCCCGATCGGGTCGAGGACATGTTTTTGCTGAACACGCCCTAAACGCCCCTGCGACAACTTAACCTGATTACAACAATCAACTATATTGACGCGAACTTTCCGGCTGGCTAGAAACCTGATGCGTGCAGTCAAATTTGGCTGCACATCCGACCTTCAGCCAACGATTGGATTGTGATCGTGATTTCTTCTAACCATTTCCGGACCGCCACCGCGGCCCTTGCCCTTGCGGCCTCGCTCGCCCTCACCGCTGGAGCGTCCGCACAGGACGTCACAGTCACCCACCCGCAGGGTGAAACCGCGATTTCGGGCACGCCCGAAAAGGTCTTCGTCATCGACTGGGCCGCTTATGACAACCTCACAGCGCTTGGCGTTGAGGTGTCCGGTGCTCCGGGCTCGAACGTGCCGGGCTACCTGGCCGACTCCGTGAGCGAAAACCTGTTCAATGTCGGCTCCCTTTTCGAGCCCGACTTTGAAGGCATTGCCGCCGAGCAGCCTGATCTGGTGATCGTGGCTTCCCGTTCAGCGTCCACATACCCAACGCTGTCGGAAATCGCGCCGACTATCGACATGTCGATCAACAACACCGATCTGGTCGCCGGCGTTGAAGCCAATATCGTGCAACTCGGCGAAATCTTCGGCATTCAGGATCGCGCGGCTGAGCTGGTCGCAGAGCTCGATGCCAAGGTCCAAGAGGCCACGGCTGCCGCCGCAGGGCAGGGCACCGGCCTTGTTCTTATGACCAATGCCGGCAACCTCGGCGTTTATGGTCCCGATTCCCGCGTGGCCTGGATATACAACGAACTCGCCATTCCCTCCGTCATGGATGATGTGGAAGACGGAGATCATGGCGGCGATGGTGTCTCGTTCGAGTTCCTGCTCGAAGCCAATCCCGACTGGCTGTTTGTGGTCGACCGCGACGCGGGTGTCGGCAATGAAGGCGCCGCTGCGGCGCTGCTCGACAACGAACTCATGCACCAGACCACGGCCTGGCAGAATGACCAGATCATCTATCTCGATCCCCAGGCCGCCTATATCACTATGCACGGCTACACCGGCCTGATGACCATGCTCGATCAGGTCATCGAAGGCTACAACGCCGCCCAATAGGCTCGGTTCATCCGGTATGCCCGGCGGGCTTCCCGCCGGGCCTTTTCTTTTTTCGGCCCGAATGGGCCGCTTCGTTTAAGGGGCAGGCGCCAGTGCGGCTTCTTTTTGCGGCGATCGCCCTGACCTTCGTTCTCGCGATCGTCAGCCTGTTTGTCGGGGTCAGCGATGTGTCTCTCCAGACTCTGCTGTCCTCCGATGCCGAGGGGCGAGCCATCCAAATTCTCCTGATCAGCCGCATTCCGCGGACACTGGCCATTCTGTTGGCCGGGTCGTCCCTGGCCATCGCCGGTATGGTGATGCAGATGATCGTGCGCAACCGGTTCGTTGAACCCTCGACGGCCGGAACGACCGAATCCGCGACCCTGGGCTTTCTCGTCGTCACCCTGTTTGCCCCCGGATGGCCTCTGATGGCCAAGATGGCGGTTTCCGCGATGTTCGCGCTGGCCGGTACGGCTCTGTTCCTGCGGCTGTTGCGCTTTGTGCCGCTGCGCGACGTGCTTCTTGTTCCTCTTGTCGGCATCATGCTGGGCGGCGTGATCGGGGCGGTTACGACATTTTTTGGCTATCGCTTCAATCTCATGCCGTCGCTTTTGGCCTGGAGCATGGGCGATTTTTCCGGCGTTCTGCGTGGCCGCTATGAGTTGCTGTGGTTCGGCCTGGCTGGGACCATCATGGCCTATGTTGCCGCAGACCGGTTCACGGTTGCCGGGATGGGGCAGGATTTCACGACCAATCTGGGGCTCAATTACAAGCTGGTGATGCGTCTGGGGCTGGTCATCGTATCGATCGTCAGCGCGGTCGTGCTGGTCTCGGTGGGCTCCATTCCTTTCCTGGGACTCATTGTTCCCAATGTCGTCAGCCTGATGATTGGCGACAACATGCGCAGGACGGTCCCTTGGGTGGCTGTTCTGGGCGCCGCTTTCG